ATGTACCGCTTGGCAATTGTAAGGTTTAAGAGAATTGTATGCATGAGGATATTAGTTCCTTAATTCTCTGGTGAACATCAATTCTTTATTCCTCTCGGCTATCCTCTTCACGTCTTTTCATTCTTTCACGGCAGAGGATATGGTTGGCGGTAGTGATTGTACTATTCGGGATCGCCTCGGCCAGTTTCACGGACGGCACCTGTAGAGGCAGAATGGGCAATCGTGAGATCTACAAGAAAGTTGATCGAGTTTGTGAGGATTGTGCTAATATCTTTCGATTACCAGGGTTGGAAGGCTTGTGTAGGTGCGTTGGCATATAATTTCTCTGAAGGTTTATCCATAAGTAGATATTGTTTAACGTTGAAATTTGAATAGGTAATAGCATATGCTAAGGATGTATTTGTGCATAATTTCTTCTAATAACGTCTCTGTCGTCAAGAAGTATACACCACGAGATAATATGGAAAGCATAATTATCATCCAGAATACCTCTTTTCAACGCATTCTTTTCCACTGCAGAGATCGGTGCTTCTACAACGAATGGTTTCTGCTTTGTCTGAAGGCTGCCAACAGGGAGGACGAGATCGAAAATTTCAGAGTGTGGATAAGTATTCTGAACGCCTGAAAAGGAGGGTGAGCCCAGAAGGACCCAATCGTTACAATCGTTAACCTTGTTTACTCTGGATTTCTGTTCTGTTAATGGTACCCTCAAGTGACATTCCAGTCTGAGCCTACAAGGTCTGGCTGTCATGCAGAGTATGTATAGGAAAGATTACATGTGACATATTGTGTCTGATCTGAAGTGTATCACGACCTAGATCCCTGTTTATTTTGCAGTTCATATATTACATTGATCTGAATTTGGAAAATAAACAATAAGCAATATCTCTCATGTATTTTAATCTACACGCATATTGTACTAGCATGATTTTTTATGTGTTTTGACTATTTCCTTGTGTTAGGATGAACATAAATAAACTTTATGTTAAATACTTACTATTCTACTTATTTTCCTGACATACCTGGAACAGATATCTATATATTCTAAAGACTAATTTGGGTGAGATGAATATGTGACTGTTACATCTAATTCAAATGTTTATTCGTAAAACCATAAAACGCAGTACAATTTTACACTTACACAACAAAAAAATAAGTGCTTGCAGTAAAGTCATATTATGACAAAATGTAAGAATTAAACAGAAACAAATACATGATTAAGTTAAGAAAAAAACATCCAGCTTATACACATCTCTGAGTAAATTACTGATTTCTTCTCTTGACATAGTAATAGTTCCTTGATAAGTCTGCATCTCTAGTCAAAATAATTATTACTACGCTTTATTTTTTCCTTGGAAGCTGAAAGATTATTCTCATAATAATCCGTGAGTAAACATTCTTAAAAATTCTTACAAAATCAATATCGGTACTAGATCTTATGTTTTGTCACACAATCTGATTAACAATGTTCTAAGTTATGGCGTTATCCAGGATATGCCAGTACCCTTAGATCAACCGACTACACATAACTACACATACCCATAACAACATCATCATAGTACAAAATCTCTCCTTAAGTTGGAGAATCATGCTATGAAAATACGGCCAATGTTGAAATAATAAAAACGCCTCTAAGTACATTGTCGCCAATTTCATTAACACTTTGTATAACCATTGCCACAGTGAGGGAGCCAAAGTCCGATTCTAGGTTGGGTCCAGTATTCATAATAGAGCCAACTGTAATTCCCTTTCTGGCAATGCATTTTCATGGACTGGATATCGCATGAACTTTGCATTTCTAATCATTTACATATTTTTGGCTCATAAGTATTCATCCGTCTATTGATCGGTTTGATTCTTATTTACAATTGTTGTTTAATAGCATTTCCTAAAAAAACGAGAAGAAATAAGCAGTTATCAAACGTTTACTTCGTCTTATACAATATGATTAACTGGTAAGTGACAAAGTAGAATATTACACTATATATTATCAACGTTAATCTAAGGTTGACGACAAAAAGAAGCTGTACTTTATAACTATAGACATATAATGTTTTTTTTTTTTCAGGCTATGAAAGAAGTGAAAAGGCATGAAACTGAAGAGACTAGTGGTGCTAAACTGATTCCTGTAATTTTTCTTTATAATGAAGCTTCCACATGTATCTAAATACGCGTAAGTACTTCTCATGTTCAAACTTCAAGATTTGATATGCAACTGTGTAATCAGAGTTGTGACCAGCTGAAATACTACTTTAAATGTTGGGTAATTATGGGTTTGAAAAGGGTGATGTGTTTGAATATCTGTGCAGAGGATAAAACGATGATATGTTAAACAGTAAAGTACATGATGGTTGTAAGGATTCTGTTATAATATATGACACAAAAATGTGACAAATTTAAATATTTTCCCAGAAGCACAACTCCCGCTTGTTTCGACACTTCATCCTCATGGTCCCAGGTCTTTATATGTTAAAAGAGACACGTAAATAATTGTTCTCTGGAACGGACCGAAGGAGGTATCCGAAATGCTGAGTAATATTTGCCACAGTTTTTTCTTTCCAGTTGCTAGTAAACTGGAAGAAAAGCGTGGATCCTAAAGTTAACGGAAATGCAAAAGATCTCTGTATTCCATCATATTTTCAAGGTAATGTCATCAATGGGCAGCTCGCAACAAACGCAACACATGTGAAAATGAGTGCATGTTACATCTTTATCAGAATCAATTTCCATTTTTGTGAAAGTAGATAACAGTGCGCTTGCTTCGCCGGCTTCCTTCCAATGACATCTTTAGCAAAACCTTAAATATGTGAAAATTCTTCAAAATCCGATAAAGAAGTAGATGATTGTTGAATGTGTTCCTAGTCTCCGTATATGTCCACCTCTATTTTATTGTTCAAATTACATGTATTTCATAGATCTATAGAATTATGTTCATATTTATCTGTTCACTTATCAAAAGAGAATGCTCTTTATATCTGTTCATAAATGCAACAGTTTATCCAAGTTTATACAACAAACACACACTTCAGCATGCTTGCATGAAAGTCAAGATATTCACACACACGCACAAAAAAAAAAGAAAAAAAAAGAAAAGAAAAGAAAAGAAAAAAAAGTTGTCAGACGAATTTAGGAAATTCAAGTTATCTGTATGGGCGTAATTACTGCTCTGTCACTGCTGCGTGTCATATATAAAGGTGGTAGCAGACCAACTTCAGCATTGCATTCTCGCCCTCCCAGGATACACTTCCAATTCAGGCACCTTGGTTTTACTTCGTGTCTGCGTGTATTAGCCATGAGATGTCTAGCAATGGTAAGGGTTTAAGAGAATTGCTTATACGTGGAAACTGATTCCTTAATGCTTTGGTGACCATGGATTCTTTCTTCCTTTTAGCTATCCTCTATAGATCGTTACTTTTATTTTCTCTCTCTTTGCAGAGGTCATGGTTGGCGATAATGATTGTACTATTGGGGGCAAACCTCTTCGGCATCGCCCCGGCCAGTCTCGTGGACGGCACTTGTAGAGGCAGAATGGGCAATCGTGAGATCTACAAGAAAGTTGATCGAGTTTGTGAGGACTGTGCTAATATCTTCCGGTTACCAGGTTTGGAAGGCTTGTGTAGGTGAGTTGGTATATAATATCTAAAGGTTTATGCACATGTATTAAAACAAATGATAACGTCTCTGTCAACGAAAAAAAACAAACAAACAAAAAACATATACTAAGAGAATACTATGTAAATCTTAATTATCATCCAGAATACCTCTTTTCAACGCATTCTTTTGCACTACAGAGATCGGTGCTTCTACAACGAATGGTTTCTGCTTTGTTTGAAGGCTGCCAACAGGGAGGACGAAATCGATAATTTCAAAGTGTGGATAAGTATTCTGAACGCCTGAAAAGGAGGGTGAGCCCAGAAGAACCCAATCCCTTCCTCTCCAATGGTCTCACTCACATGGGTCAACATTCACGACATTCGGCGACCAAGGATAATCATCATTACAAATCTTAAGCTTGATTATTTTGGTTTTCTGTTTTATGTGACTTTCCAGTCTGAGCCTGCAGTGTCTGGCGGTCCTGCAAAGTATGTACAGGATATATTACATGTGAAATATTGTGTCTGATCTGCAGTCTACCACGATCTAAATCCCTGTTTATTTTGCAATTCATATATTGCACTGATCTCAATTTGGAAAATAAAGAAGCAATATCTCTCATGTATTTTAACCCTACAGATATATTGTACGAGCATGATTTTTTATGTGATTGGATTACTTTCTCATGTTATTTCTCAACATATTCAAAGGACTAATTTGTTAGAGATGAACTTGTGACTGTTACATATGTGTATTGTATGTGGTAACAGGAATAAATAAATCAAATGTTAATTCGTAAAACCATACAAAATGGTTCAATAAAAAATATAAAATGTTAGCAGTAAAATTGTAAAATCAGAAAATATTAGAATTTAAAAGACACACAAATACATGATTAAGTCGAGCTTATCTAGTTTATTAAAAATCATTGATTTCTTCTAAGGTCAGATCACAATCCAAAGTGCCCTCTTGGCATAGTAATGGTTTCTTGACAAGACTGCATCTCCAATCAAAATAATTATTACTGCACTTTATCTTTTCTCAGTATATAGTACACAATCCTACACTTACATTTCAAAGTCGGTATCGGTATTAGATCTTGTCTCTTGTCAATCAATCTGATGAACAATGTACTAAGTTATGACGTTATACTGGATATGTCACGACCACTTTTTTTTCGAAGCAACCACTTTCCAATGCTTTTGGAGTAGGTGAATGGAGTGCAGAGATGGCGACTGGAACATGCAGACTGGAATCTTTTTAGATCAACTGCAGTATTGCAAGGATCTGTGAATGATTTCCTGTTTGTTCAAGGCATCAATTCCCATGGTACCATTGACCTCCGGTACCATGGTGGTCTGATAAATACCAAGAAGCTGTCAGAGCAAGAAAAGCTGCATTAAGGCAGTTGAAATGACGCCCAAGTGATGTAACATTGATCCAGTACAAAATGACCCAAGCCAAGGCCAGATGACTGCTAAAGGAGGCTAGACGGACATCATGGAGGCAGTATACCTCTTTGATTAACTTAGCATGGGTATGGGACAAGGTGCGTAAGAGCACATCCATGTCACCACCTGCTCTGAAGATTGATGGCATAATTCTCACAGATAAAACAGATGTTGCAAATGAGCTAGCAAAATCCATGGCAGAGATCTCCTTTGGAGCATCTTACACTGCTTAATTATCCACTCTTCAGGCTGAACAGGAACGACTCCCAGCACTGCAGCAGAACTTCCATACAACTTGCCATTTTTGTGTAAGGAGATGGACTGTGCTTTACAGCTCTGCCCCAGGAAGTGACAGTATTCTATACCAAATGATATCTCATTTACCGGAGAGCTCCCAAAGGTTCCTGTTGAATCTATTCAATAGGATCTATAGGAAGGGAACAGTGCCATCCACGTGGAAAGAGGCTATAATCATTCCTGTCCTTAAACCTGGCAAGGATGCTTCCATACCAGGGAATTACAGACTAATTTCTCTCACTAGCTGCACCTGCAAGTTGGAGAAAATGGCAAACTTCAGGTTGACATGGCTGCTAGAAAAAGAAAACGTGCTGACCCGATATCATTATGGGCTTAGAAAATTGAGATTGACCACAGATGCCCTTGTGAGAATGGAAACTGCTTTACTGAATTCTTTCGCACAGTGACGTCATATGTTAGCAGTCTTCTTTGATCTTGAAAGGCTTACAAAACTACTTGGAAGGATGGCATACTCCTAAAGCTGCATGGCATTAGTTTAAAAGGAGCATTACCTACCTTCATACAAAGCTCCCTTGCCGACAGGAAGTTTTGAGCCCGGGTGGGAAACAGCTTCTCTAACCTAGAAGACCAGCTGGAAGGGGTCCCACAAGGGAGTGTTTGCCATTGCTATAAATGACATCGCAAAAGTCATTCCAAGTGCTGTCTCATGTAGCTGTATGTGGATGATTTTGCAGTGTATTGCTCAGGAGGAAGCTTACAGGACACATGCATTCTGCAATAAATCAGGTTGTGCAATGAGCAACACATCATGGATTCAAATTTTCTCCAAGCAAGACCATGGCTATGCATTTGCACAAACTGGGAAAGTTCCATCCTTCCCTCTATTTAGGGGCAAACCCATTGCATTTTGTCCAAGAATTAAAGTACTCGGGTCTAATTTTTGACTCAAGGCTTACATAGGTGCCTCGCATTAAACAGTTAAAGGTGAAAGCTACAAAAGTGCTTAGTATTTTGCAGGTTCTTTAACATCTGTCTTGGGGTGCAGACCACACAAAACTTCTGCGACTTTATCAAGCACTTATTCGTAGTAATCTTGACTATGGATGTGAGGCTTATTCATCTGGAACTCCAATTGTTCTCCGGATGTTGGACTCGATTCATAATGAAGTTTTTAGAATCTGTATAGGGGCTTTCAGGTCTGCACCTGTGGAGTCTCTATATGGTAAGAGTGGAGAACAGATGCAGATGCAATATATACAGATGGTTCGAAATCTGAAAATGGTGTGGTCTTTGCAGCAGTGAGCGGAAGGGAGACTGCATTTGGCAGTCTTTCTCTATCAGTCTCGATCTTCACTGCAGAGTTACATGCCATCCTTGCAGCAGTTAAGGTGACTAGAGATCTTACGAACGAGTCTATTGTAATATATTGTGACTCATAGTGCCTTGCAAGCAATAAAGAGCTTAAACTCATCACAGCCAGAGGTGAGGTAGGTTCAAGATTGGTTTGCACTGATGTCAGCACCCTTAACCCAATGCCGCCGGGGAAAATGAACAAAAAATGGGGAAAATGCTGTGCCCCCCCTTTTTTGTGAAATATCTGCCGCTAGATGGCTCTGTTAGCGCCTGATATGAAAAAGCGAGAAAAACGTATTTTTCACTAGTGCTAAGAAAATCGATGGTGTTATTTTTATCATAAACATTATAAAAATTATAATGTTTTTTAACAATAGTAACAGCAAAATAAGATAACGTAAAATATTTCGTAATCAAAGAAAAGGGTAAACGGGCGAGACGGGCGGTATTCGTAACTGGCTCATTGGGGAGTTAGTACAAGTGTTGCCATCTATGCGTAAAAACAATCAAACAAGTACTCACGGTGGGCATAGCACGTACGTACACGTCATACTCGGCGGCATTGGGTTAAAAGTTGACTCTGTGTTGGACGCCAGCACATGTTGGTATCAGTGGGAATGAGCAAGCTGATCAGAAGGCCAAGGCAGCTGCTGCTCAGCCCTGTGATGCTCATTTTCCTCTCCCACACACTGACTTGAAACCCAGCATCAGGAATTGTCTCTGCAATAAATAGAGGGAACAATGGAGGCATACCTCTAGAAACGGGAGATTAGAGATTACCTTGGCAGTTGAGTGATCAGCATCCATCCCAACCAACAAGTAGAAGTTGTATTAACAAAGCTAAGAATAGGGCACACAAGATTGACTCATGGGCCAATGATGGCTAAAAGTGAAGCACGCTGTGAGGGATGTCAAGAGACATTAACGGTCGCATATGTAGTAGAAAGATGTGCAACATTCTCAGACCAGACTCCCGCATATACACTGAAATGTGTATTGGGGGAGGATTGTGACATCGAAAGTCTTATTAACTTCCTTAGGGAGACTAATATTCTTAATAAGATTTGATTATGCATAATGTGTATGCAATAGTTTTAGACATTTAGACCATGTTTTTGCTTAGATTTTTAAATATTTATTGTTATTTATGACATTTATTAATAGATTTTTAATGTTTTAGATATTTTAATATTTCAGTCTAACAAGGTGTTCGCCGCTATTGACCTTAGTTGTTGACGTGGCAGATGATTTTAAATAATCAATCAATCTCTTTAACCATCGATAACTATGGCCAGGCTTATAGCAGATCCAAGAGTCGTGCACAGCTGAAGGCTTATGGTGTTGAGAACCTTCCTTAAAAGCTTTGCTTCTAATGCTAATGCCGAACTCAAGCAATTGAGTTTTATCTCAAAAGAGTTCCGAAAATAAGAAATCGTCATAGATTCTCCGACTTAGCAGGTGTTTTTATCGGCGCCTCGATCGACACGCCGGTGACAGCGTGAAACGGAAACTTTTCTAAGTCGGTATCGGAATTACATCTTACTGATTAACAGTATATCTAGTGATGACGTTATCCAGGATATGCCAGTACCCTTAGATCAAACGGCTTTGTCACTGCACAAGTACAAATTCGCCAATTTCAATAAGACTGTATAATCATTGCCACAATGAGGGAGCCAAAGTCCGATTCTAGGTTGGGTCCTATTATTTATAATAGAATCAGTTTTAATTATATTTTCATGGACCGGATATTGCATGAACTCTAATTATTTATATACTTTTGTCTTATACTTTTTGTCTTATAAGTATTTACCCATCTATTAATCTGTTTTTCTTTTATACAAATTAACATGTTATATCTCCTTCATGAGAATCAATTTCCATCTTTGTAAAAAAAAAAAAAAAAAAAAAAAAAAAAAAAAAAAAAAATTTAACAAGATTTTGAATATGTAGAAATTCTTTAAAATCCGACAAAAGAAATTGATTATTGTTGATTGTGTTCCCAATCTCCGTATATGTCCACCTCTATTTTATTTATCAAATTACATGTTTTTATAATTGTTTAAAGTTATGCATATATTCCGTTGACTTATCCAAAGAGGGTGCTCTTCTTTATATGGAGTATACATCTGTGCATAAAAAATATACATCAAAACACAACTACACACTTGCATGAAAGAGATTCACTTTTTAGAAAATTAGAAGGTTGTCAGACGAATTTAGAAAACTTACACTATCTGTATGGGCGTAATTATTGCTCTGTTGCTGCTGCGTGTCATATATAAAGGTGGAAGCAGACCAACCTCAGCACTGCATTCCCACCGTTCCAGGACACACTTCCAAAGCAGACACCTTGTTTTACTTCGTGTCTACGTGTATCAACCATGTACCGTCTAGCAATGGTAGGGATTTAAAAGACTTGTTTATATGTGGAAATTGGTTCCTTAATACCCTGGTGACCACGGATTCTTCCTTCCTTCCTGTCAGCTATCCTCTGTAGACTGTTACTTTTTTTTTCTCTGTAGAGGACATGTTTGGCGATAATGATTGTACTATTTGGGACAAGCCTCTTCTTCGACATCGCCTCGGCCGGTTTCACAGACGACACCTGTAGAGGCAGAATGGGTAATCGTGAGATCTACAAGAAAGTTGATCGCGTTTGTGAAGACTGCACTAATATCTTCCGAGTGCCAGGGTTGGAAGGCATGTGTAGGTGAGCTAGCATATAATTTCGAAAGGTTTATACACAAGTATTGTATAACGTTGAAATTTGTATAGGCAATATTATATGCTTCAGATGTATTTGTATGTACGTCCTTCAGATAACATATAAAAAAAAAAAAAAAAAAAAAACTTCTGATAACGTCTCTGCCATCATGAAATATACACTACGAGATAATATAGAAAACATAATTATCATCCAGAATAGCTCTTTTCAACGCATTCTTTTGCACTGCAGAGATCGGTGCTTCTACAACGAATGGTTTCTGCTTTGTCTGAAGGCTGCCAACAGGGAGGACGAGATCGACAATTTCAGAGTGTGGATAAGTATTCTGAACGCCTGAAAAGGAGGGTGAGCCCAGAAGGACCCAATCCCTTCCTCTCCAAAGGTCTCACTCACATGGCTCAACATTCACGGAACTCGGCAACCAAGGAAAATCACCACTACAAATCTTAATTTTGGTTTTCTGTTCTGTTAATGGTACCCTCAAGTGACATTCCAGTCTGAGCCTACAAGGTCTGGCGGTCATGCAGAGTATGTATAGGAAAGATTACATGTGACATATTGTGTCTGATCTGAAGTGTATCACGACCTAGATCCCTGTTTACTTTGCAGTTCATATATAACACTGATCTGAATTTGGAAAATAAACAGTAAGCAATATCTCTCATGTATTTTAATCTACAGGCATATTGTATGAGCATGACTTCTCATGTGTTTTTTATCTACTTCCTCGTGTTAGGATGAACATACATAAACTTAGTGTGAAATACTTACTATTCTACTTTATTTCCTTTCACACTGGAACAACTTTTACACATTCCAAGAAGTAATTTGGTAAAGATGCACTTGACTGTAACATACGGGTACTATACGTGGTAACCGAAATAAATAAATCAGAATCAATTTTAAATGCTTATTCGTACAAAGCGATACAATTTTACACATAGAGAGTAAAAAGGTAAAATGTTTGCAGTAAAATCATAAAATCAGAAATACAAATACATAATCAAATTTATAAGAGACATAAGTTGATCTTATCTAGTTTATACAAACATCTTTGAGTAAATCACTGGCCACATCTTTTCCTTTGATACTAAAAGTCCATTCTCACTTATATCCATAATACTCAGTGAATATTTTCCCAGTATATAGTACACATTCCTACACATATATGAATGCATTTTTGCAAAAAAAGAAAATATATATATATATATATTACAATGACTTAATTTAATTATATAAAAACCCAGCATACGGTTACTTTTATTCGTTGATATTCTTAGATTTGTAATACACAGAATATTTGTGGTGTAAAAAAAAAAAAAAAGAAAAAAAAAATACAATGTGGAAAACATAAGCAAAGTCAATGTCATTCAACTTTGTTCTTCCAACCACGTAAGTCCGCTTTGTATTACCTTAAAGTGGAATCCCCAACAATCAGTGCAATAGACTTTCTATACTTGGATAGATTACCACACTATCTTCCCCACCAGCCACCTCTAACCTTATCTCGTTAACCATAGATAGGGCAGGCTTATGGCAGATCCGAGATCCATGCAATGTGCACAGCTCAAGGTATATGGCATAGAGAACCTTCATTATATGCTGTTAATTCACCGGAAGAGAAGTTTGCTTCTAATGTAACGGGTCCCTGAACTCAAGCAATTGAGTAATATCTCAAGAGAGTTTCATCAGTGAGAAATCGTCATGGATTCTCCGACCACGTTCTTATCAGCACCTTGGTCGGCACGTCGGTGACGGCGTAAAACGAACCCTTTCCAAAGTCGGTATCTGAATGAGATGTTGTCTTTTGTCAAACAATCTGATTAACTATGTACCTAATTATGACGCGATCCAGGATATGCCAGTACCCTTAGATCAATCGGCTTCGTCACTGCATATAACAGCATACAGCCAATGTTGAAAATATAAAAACGTCTCTAAGCACATTGTTACTAAGTACAATAACACTATATAAGCATTGCCACGATCAGGGGACTGAAGTCCGATTTTATCTACTTATAGTAGGGTCAGTTGTAATTCTATTTATGGGAATTACATTTTTATAGACTGGATATTGCATGTACTTTGCATTTCTAATTATCTATATATGTTTGGCTCATAAGTATTTATCCATCTATTACTCTGTGTGATTATTATTGACAAATGTTATTTAATAGTATTTGAAATGACACGAGAAGAAATAAACATCAAGAAGCTATCAAATGTTTACTTGGCCAGTTATTTTTTCATTATATGTAACTGATAAGTGACAAAGAATATTATACTATATATTATCAACGTTACTCTAAGGTTGACAACAAAAAGAAACTGTAGTTTGTAACCATACATATCATATACTGTTTTTTTTATTTCCGGCTATGAAGAAATGAAAAGGCGTGAAACTGAAGAGACTAGTTGTGCTGAACTGACAGTCAATACTTTCCTTTGTAATGAAGCTAAGTACTAATCGTGTTCAAACGTCAGGAGTCAATATGTAACTATGTAACCAAGTGCTGCGACGAACCGGAAAAGGTTGAAACACTACTTTAAATCGTGGGTAATAATGGGTTCGAAGGGGGTGATGTGTTTGAATGTGTGAGCAGTGGATAAAACGATGAGATGTTAAATGGTAAAGTACAACATGGTTCTAAGGGCTCTGTAGAAACTGATTCTACACTTCATGGAGACACGTTAATATTTTTTTTATAGAACGGACCGAAGGAGTTGACCGAAATGTAGAGTAATGTTTGCAGGTCTACATTTTTTTTTTTTTTTTTTGCTAATAAATTGGAAGGAGAACGTGTATCCTAAAGAGGATGTTATTTACAAAGTAATTTCAAAATCAATAAATCAATCATTACTGATCAATGACTTGTCTATTATATCTGGCAACAAATATGAAAATGAGTTCTTGTTACATCTTCATCAAAATCAATTCCCATCTTTGTGAACAAAAATAATAGTGCACTCGCTTCGCCGACCTCCTTCCACTGACGTCTTTAACAAGACCTTAAAGATGTGGAAACTCTTTACAATCCGATAAAAGAATTGATGATTGTTGAATGTGTCCTCTATCTTATTTAGCAAATTGCAAATTGTTTTTACGGTTGAATAAAATTATGCATATTCATCCGTTCACTTACCTAGAGACAATGCTTTTCCTTATATGACAGAGTATCTCATAAAATAAAAATGCAACAGTTTATCCACGTTTGTTCAGCACACGCATACACTAACACATCAGCATGTCAAGAGATTCACTTAAAAAAAAATAGAATTCAGAATTTAGAAAATGAAGCTGTATGGGCGTAATTAGTGTTCTGTGACTGCGGTGTGTCGTATATAAAGGTGGAAGCAGACCAGCCTCAGCACTGCATTCCCGCCGTCCCAGGATACGCTTCCAAATCAGACACTTTGGTTTTACTTCGTGTCTGTGGGTATTAACCATGAGATGTCTAGCAATGGTAAGGGTTTAAGAGAAATGTTCGTATGTGGAAATTGGTTCCTTAATACTCTGGTGACCACGGATTCTTTCTTCCTTTAAACTATCCTATGTAGATCGTCTTTTTTTCTATCTCGACAGAGGACATGTTTGGCGATAATGATTGTACTATTCGGGACAAGCCTCTTCAGCATCGCCTCAGCCAGTCTCACGGAGGGCACTTGTAGAGGGAAAATGGGTAATCGTGAGATCTACAAGAAAGTTGATCGTGTATGTGAAGATTGTGCCAATATCTTCCGATTGCCTAGGTTGGAAGGCTTGTGTAGGTGAGTTTGCATATCATTTCGAAAGGTTTATGCACAAGTATTGTATAACGTTGGAATTTGTATAGGCAATATATGCTTCAGATGTTTTTTTTTCAGATAACATATAGATAAATAGACAAATACGCTTCTAATAACATCTGCTATCAAGAAATATACGCTAAGAGTTACTATGGAAAGCATAATTATCATCCAGAATAGCTCTTTTCAACGCATTCTTTTGCACTGCAGAGATCGGTGCTTCTACAACGAATGGTTTCTGCTTTGTCTGAAGGCTGCCAACAGGGAGGACGAGATCGACAATTTCAGAGTGTGGATAAGTATTCTGAATGCTTGAAAAGGAGGGTGAGCCCAGAAGGACCCAATCTCTAAGTCTCACTCACATGGCTCAACATTCACGGCACTTGGCGACCAAGGAAAATCACAGCTACAAATCTCAAATTTGGTTTTCTGTTCTGTTAATGGTACCCTCATGTGACATTCCAGTCTGAGCCTACAAGGTCTGGCGGTCATGCAGAGTATGTATAGGAAACGTTACATGTGACATATTGTGTCTGATCTGAAGTGTATCACGACCTAGATCCCTGTTTATTTTGCAGTTCATATATAACACTGATCTGAATTTGGAAAATAAACACTAAGCAATATCTCTCATGTATTTTAATGTACAGGCATATTGTGCGAGCATGATTTCTCATGTGTTTTGACTACTTCCTCATGTCGAATGAACATACATAAACTTAGTGTGAAATACTTACTATTCTATTTATTTCCTTTCACACTGGAACAATTTTTACACATTCCAAGAAGTAATCTGGTAAAGATACACTTGTGACTGTAACATTACGGGTACTATAAGTGGTAACCGAAATAAATAAATAAGAATTAATTTTAAATGCTTATTTATACAAAGCGATACAATTTTACACATAGAGAATAAAAAGACCTTATCTAGCTTATACAAACTTCTTTGAGTAAATCACTGGCCACATCTTTTCCTTTGATACTAAAAGTCCATTCTCACATATCATAATACTCGGTGAAAACTTTCCAAGTATATAGTACACATTCCTACACATATATTAATGCATGTTATATTAGAATATGTATATATATTTATTACAATGACTCAATTTAATTATATAAAAAACAGCATACGGCTAGTTTTATGTGTTATTATCCTTAAATTTGTAATACACAATATTTGCTTGTGTAAAAACAGTGTGGAAAATATAAGGAAACACAATATGACATACAATTTTGTCCTTCCAACCATGTAAGTCCGCTTTGTATTACCTGAAAGTGGAATCCCCAACAATCAGTGCAGTAGACTTTCTATACTTGGATAGATCACCACACTATCTTCCCCACCAGCCACCTCTAACTTTATCTCGTTAACCATAGATAGGGCAGGCTTATGGCAGATCCGAGATCCATGCAATGTGTACAACTCAAGGTATATGGCATAGAGAACCTTCATTATATGCTGTTAATTCACCGGAAGAGAAGTTTGCTTCTAATGCTAACGGGTCCCTGAACTCAAGCAATTGAGTAATATCTCAAGAGAGTTTC